GAAAAAATATTTATGCATGTTGATGAAAATCTCTAAACTAAAAAAAATAAAATGAAAAGAATGATTTATTTATTTATTCGTTTAGGAGAATCCATCGAATTCAATTGCATCAACAAATGTTGTTTCGTCTCCTCCTCGATCATTGGAGAACAAAATAAGTCGAAGGTAATTGAAAAGAATTTTTTTTTGTTTTAAATTAAAATTGTATGTTAATAAATAAAATAGTTTTTATTTAATGAATGAATGAGTTAGTTATTTGAGATGATCTTATTTTATAATTGTAATTCCAGTGAGACACAGCCAGAGGTGGCACCTAGAAGGTATTCTCTCATTTGGTTTTTTTTCTCTTCTATCAAAACCTGTAACCAATCAACACACTATCTAACTAAATCTATCACAATTAATACGCACAACCTAATACATTTTTATTTTGCACAGAAAAAAAAAATAATAATCCGTAGATAATTAATTCAATTTTGAGGATAAAATGAAACAATTTGCATCAATGCATGTTTTTATTTTTATTTTGCCATTTCAAAAAATCTTTTTCTTTTTCTTTTTATTAATATACAAACATTATTTAGATGGGGCACAAGTGAACGAACGGTGCATGATAGTTCATCATCAGCAACAAATAATACAGGCCCATATGTTCGTCGTCGATCAGCTACTGGTACTAATGAACCATCAACACCAACAACGATTGTTAGTGTAACAACATCTCTTCCACCAACAACAAATGTAACAGTAACAACAACAACAAATACACTTGATAATTCAACAAGTGAAAAAAGACGATCAAATGTTCCACCAAGTCGTGATGAAGAAGCTGAAGCACAAGGTAAACATCGTTAAGAAAAACCGAGAAAAAGAGGGTTTCTTTTGTGATAACAACACAAGTGAATAGTTCACAGCTATTTATCACCTAACTTCGCTCAATCATATGTCAAAATGATACATAAAAATTTTGCTTACAATAAGAAAAGATATTCATTGAGCCTCACCTGATTTTGTAACGTTTCGCCGCCCCTGATGCACCATCAACACCATTATCTATTAATGAATATGATATTGAAACTGAACGTTTATCAACGTATTATTGAAGAAAAAAAGATAAAGCAAGAAGAACAAGTGGAGGAATCGAAGTAAAATTAATTTATACATTTAACCTTGAGAATTTAATTCATCTTATGTTGTGTTTTTTTCTCTTTTGTTTATTTGTACAATTGACTACGATCATTCATAGCATACGCTTTCGATTTATTAACTTCTAGAGATACATCTTAATTGTTCTTTTTTTTCTAACTTAATAAAAATACAATTTTCTTTTTAGAAATAAATAATTTACTTTCAACAGTAGAAGAAAATACAAATGATAATAATCAACAAGAATTTTTATCAAATATTGATAATGATATTGAAAAAGCTAATCAACATATGTGTCATTTACTTGCTGAACTTGATGAAAAAACTCGTCGTATTAAAGAACTTGATTTATTACTTAATCAAGAAAAAGATCATTGTAAAGAACTTGAAACAAAATTAAAAGTTGTTTTAGAATTACAAGAACGTGATGCTCATTTACATATTCGTCAGTTAGGACAAACTGATGCTGAATTACGTAAAGCAAGAAGAGATACTGAACGTGTTAGAATTTTACAACAACAATTAGAATTTAAACAGTAGTATATAATTATTTCTTTAAGAAAATTTCTAAAAAAACAAAAACAATAAATAATGATCTTTTAATTTTAGAAAACAATTAGAAGATGTACAAAAAGTTCTTGCTAGTGGACAAACAAAATATAATGAAGAATCTAGTAAATCACAACATGAAATACATGAAAAATGGATGGAAGTAAAACGATTAACAAGAGAACTTGATGGATCAAGAAAAGAATGTGAAAATCTACGAAAACAGTATATTTTTATTTTATTATTATTATTCATTTATAGTTTGTTTTGCTTATTTTTATTGTCATATAGAATTACTAAATATGCAAACAATCAACGTTTATCTCAAGAGCAAACAATGCATAAACCAATAACACAACATATCAATAATAATAGTAAGTTTAACAAAATAAAAAACTTTTGAAATTTAAACATTTTTCTTTTTCATTAATTTTAGGTCGAATATCAAGTGAAGCAGACATAAATAGTAGCTCTTCCTCCTTACCACTTCCATATAAACAAGAAGAAAGGTATGATAGTAATTAGATTTTTTTGCTTATAACCACTACTTCGAGAATAATATTAGGCTAATTGAACAAAGTAGCAATTCTAGAACTACAAGTCTGATCAAAATGTTCAAGACAGGTGAATATGCCTTCATTTTTCTTATTCTATAAAATTATTCTTTATTTAGAGCCACGTTTTATTGTTTTACCTCGACCATGTTTTTATTCACAACCATTTATATCTTCACTAGTATCTAATCGATTTATGTTATCTAATCAATTTCTGATACTATATGATAGTTCACAAAGAATCATAAATCAAAATGACTTTTTATCTGCTAAAAAAAAATAAAACATAAAGATCTCAAACAATTTTTCTTTTTAGACTTGTACACGTTAGAACAAGAAAAATAGTATATCAAAATGTGTTCAACAATAAGCTAAAACAGCCAAGGAGGAACAAACTGATTTCGATTGCAGAAATCAAGAAAAACGTTTGAAATCACTAGAAATCATTGTTGTTGTATATATTTTTATATATCAATTTCTCAGAATTTTGGATATTCAATAAAAAAAAAGAGTATCGGCTTCTACGTAGTATAGTTTCTGTTGGCTTTATCGCAAAAAGAATAGTGAACGAAAAATTTTGAAGCTTTTATTTTCCATGAGCAAATTATAGTCGTTTTGCATAGACATTTATCAATCTATCGAATAATTCATGAAGTAATTAATATAAATCGTTTTATACACAATTGAAACGTGACTGGATATCTTTCGATCATCGTTCGATCTCGATATCTACGAATTTATCGTCTATTGTCTTATTGTACGTGTTCTCTATTTCATTTAACTGATCAAAGGGGCAAACATTTTCGTTTCTATTCATTTCTATCTTCAACAAACCTTATCCTTTTGTCCGTCGATTTTGTTTACGTTTCTTTATTTTCACTGCCGAGGTCAAAGACATTCGAGGACAATGGTCGGCTCTGGTAGATTTCCAGCGAATTTTGAAAGCAGGGTTTCTCAGCTGCTTTCGGTTCCAGCTTTGTTTCCATCGAATACTAGATCTGGAAGCGATTTCCAGATACTATTGCTGGTCTCTGACGACATTCTCGTTTCAGATCCGATTACGAAACTCGGATCCGGTCGTTTTATACTGATCATCAGGTTTAACACCATTGAACTGCTTTCTATGGGAATATCTTAAAACAAATGCCTACGGAACACTAGTACACGATTTAGATGATTTAAGGACTAGAATATCGAAAGAAATCGAAATAAAAAACAAAGAAACTCCACATGAGTGTTTTTTCAGAAACTGTAAAAAGTCTAAATTTTTGTATTGATGTCAAAAGCAATACTTTTGAACAATACTGATAAATCTTGTCTTTATGAAGTAAACTTACTACTCTTGTTTACCAAATAAAAAAATTACTAGATAAAGCTTTATTAATAGGAAAGTTATACGCATTTCTTAAATGATCAGGACTTTTGTGACACCCTTTATATAACTTTAATAAAAAGATGATATACAATGTTTTAAATACTTCGTTTTTTTTTCAGTTACTGGTGGTCTATCAATTGACATATTCCATAAAAGATTTGAATGAACTGCAGAAAGACAAGGAGCCATAACTTCTATAAGATAAATTCATGTTGCTGCTTTTTTTCTCATAAAGATATGAGTGTTAAAAGTCGGTATTGGCTAACTTTTCAAAGGAAGGGTATTAGAAACTAAAATTTTTAGATTGATAGTTTCAGACATTGATGGTTGGAATGCGCAAAAAAATCAAAATTTTTTTCTTTTACCGACTGTCTCATATATTGGGGTCATCCCAGTGACTTAAAAAATAAAAAAAATTTCATGTCTTTCGTGAATTTTATATCAAAAACATGAAAAAAAAATGGCATTTGTGATGATGAAATTGACATAACAATTGATGTTTTTTCAAATCCATTGGTTAAAAGCGATATTTTAATTAAAAAAATGCAGTGAATTTATTTAAAAGTCGTTTTTAATCAATAAATTTGAAAAAACATTGATTTGTATGTCCGCTTCATCACCAAAAATGTCATTTTTTTCATATTTTTGACATAAAATTCACGAGAGTCGTGAAAACTTTTTTTTATTTTCCAAGTCACTAAGATCCTCGGTTTTCTCAAGGAGACTCTCTTAATTTGGTGGTAAAAAAAATTCTAATTCATTCTATTATTTGACGTTATATTTCAATTTGTAGTTAACTATGCTCTCTTTTTTTCTGTTGTATTTACATCTTTTTTTGTATTGTCTGACCGTTTGGCCTTGTTCTCTTCATATATATTTTATGCTCGTTGAAAAAAACAGCCGGCGCCGTTCAAATCAAGAAGGAAAAAACTCAAGAGACAGCACACTTTCCATTACTTTCATTATTATACATTAACGAGATAGTACAAATTTCCTTTTCGATTGTCTATTCGAACGATTCTGAAGAATGAATAGTAGTGTGCGCATAGCAATGGATTACAGGATTTACTGCCGTATGCTTTACTGCCGTTGTAAACATTTATTTACAAATATTTTTTTGTCACAAGTTAAAACACAAGCTCTTTCATAGTAAATTATATGATTATGTCAGATAATTCTAATGATCACAATATTAACTTTAATTTGATTTTTTCTATGTCAAAGGTTTGTTTTCCGCGTCAAATGTTCGTGAAAATGTATTGAAATCTAACTATAGTTTGTAATCTATTTCATATTTTGAAAGAAAATTTTTCTATTTTCTAGCTCAAAAGTTCTGTTTTCATATCAAAGGTTCGTACAAATACATTGAAATTTATCAATAGTTCGTAAAATGAACAGATAAATTGAAGAAAAAAATGATTTTCTATGTCA